CAGCAACCCTCCCACCCAGCAAAGCTCCATGTGCTTTCGGCAGGCGCTGCCTGGACAAGGAGCCCAGGATTGCTCTCAAATTGCATCCTGAAAACAGGGCAGCACGTTCAAAGTTTGACTGTATCCTTAAGCAACAGCTATAACTCAAGCGTGCTTTTCTTTTACATTATCTGGGATTTGATTTTTTTTCTAATCACAGGAATTCTGCTACTGACTTCAAGAGAACAGGGCATGACTTTTTAATAAGGAAAGTGCATAAACTCCACTGTGTATGCAGGGCATTTCTTCCTAAGTGCAAGAGGTCTCGTTTGAATTAATTCTGATACCACAAAATGAAAGAAGTCTCACTTACCTGGCTCAATGCTAAGAAAGGAAGCTACTTACCATTTATTCATGTTATTACTATTATTTGTATTAAATTATGTATGCCCTGAATAATAGACTCTTAACACTTTTAAACACCAGGGATAAGGGTGTCTTCCAGAGGCACATAGATGCAGTCCTGAGCTACGAGTGTGTCTGCCCAGCATAACACATCACCTTACAGAATAGGAATAGCCGAAGAGCTATCCCGCATACCATGAACAGGGTCTCTCAGAGCAGCTTGCTACCTGAGGGATCAGACGTTGCCCTTTTGGCAGAGCTTTGTAGCCCAGGAACACACCTGTGATCATCTTCTTCTCGTGCTTGAACCAGCCAGTGGAGTCTGCCTGCAAGGTATCCCCGACGTTCAGTGAGCATCTTCTCATTGGGAGCCCAAATCTACAACAGAAAAAGTATGTAGGCACAAAACCCAGGGCTTCCCATATACCCAAAGAGAAATGAGAATAAAGGCTGCCTTGGTCCTGGAATCTCCTTGGATTTTGGTCACAACCTGGTTTGTTTCAACATTTTTTGTGTAAATGGGAACATTCATGCATAATGCATGTGTCCAGACGTATTCATAGAACATGTGTGTGTTCCATTACACATACTGAGTAAACGACATTTTTAAAAAATCCTTAATGTTTTGTCAAGCAGAGAGAGATTTATTATATTGAAATCGTAAAGAACTTTCATTTCACCACTTGCCTGAACACAAAATAGGGCCAACATTATGTACAAGGAAACAAAGAAAGAAAAAATGCCGGGGTGGTTGTTTGAATCAAGTTTTCATTAACATGATCAGGTTTATGTAAATTCATAACTAAGCTACAAATCAAGCACCGACATAAAAGCACACAGAAATGCAATGATAAATGGCTGGCCACTTCGCTTGCTGTGTCAGTCTCACAATTATGATCCTGTTACCAATTACAGGCAAAATACACAGTACGGCCATAACAAACAGCGCTGTTGATTGATAAGATGGTATGTTTCAACAAAGAAACACTTTGCATAGCAAACAGAAAATAATGGGAAAATGGTATATGCAGAGAATATTCTATATACTGTAATAACTGCCTCTAATGATAGTTCTTGCAATAATTTCAGATCCAATTTCACCAGCCACTGACCGCAGCCTCACGGCTGATGATTTGTTCGATGTGCCATGTGATGCAGAAGTCTGTTTGCAGTAAGCGTGTAATTCCATCCTCCCTCGCGTGTTCAGCAGTGGGTACAGACGCCTTGTGAAGAGACTTAAACTAGCATGGGAGGAGGAGAGGCTGAAATAATTTGAAAACCACTTCCATCACCCTAAGTGGCTCTCAGGACTAGCAGCTACTGTTGTAATGTGAAAACCACTTGGCTATCTTTAGGGACTTTTCTTCAGCGGTGAAAGATTTCTCAAGATGTTTTTGAAGATCTGATGAAATTTTATTCAGAGAGGATTTACAGCAGCGAGGTTGGCCAGTGGGAGTCACCTTGTTTCTTCTGCTGATTATATGATACAGTAAGAATAATGTTTTCTGTTCTTCCAACCGCCTACTTAAAAATGGTTTCTTTTCAGTTTCATCAAAACTCCATCAAGACAAGAGACTCAAAATCTCTCTTGGACACAAACCTGGGCTGTTCATATACCTGTTACCGGGATGACTATTCACAGGCTTTGAGAGGACAGCTCTCTTTCACGCTTTCCTGGGGCTGTCAGACATAATTTCCAAACACCAGGGACATTTAAAAATAGGGCTGTAATAATTTTACTGAAGTTATATCTTGCACTCACCCTCAGTAAGAAGAATAATTGAAACGTTATTAAGAAAAACTCATTACAAATTAGCTGCAGGCTGCCAATCAGGCAGGGAGGTGTTGTCATTTCTTCTTCACACACTATTAAAGCTACTTGAGAAAATTCTTCCAAAAATGAGGGGGAAAACCTCCATTTTCCATTAGCTTTAGGAAAGGGTAGACAAACACATGCACACAAACCCAACTTGAACGTTTCTGCTTGCGTGTCCACCTCTCAGCTTTCACTAAAGGCTCCCAAGTGCTCGGACTTGCCTTGCACTCACCACTTTGAATAAATTTGAACTGGCTTTTTTGTCTTGCAATTCCCAACAAAAGCTGCAGGCCAGCCAGGGGTATGCTACGCTTGTCAATGCCATGCACAGGCCAGTCCTCCTGACCCGAGACCTGCCATCCCACCCCCCCCCCCCCCCCCCAGCCGTATTTCCCCGGGGAGACCATGATTGCCGATCATCTGGGCACAAGGGACACAGAGACTTCGGAGGTGAACATGAGAACCTGAGGGAAGGAATACCCATGATGGGTTGCATGCTCCAAAAGACCAAAAACCTTTCTAGTCCCACAGCTAAAGCCCAAATCTGGTATTTTGCTCAGCTTCCCCTACAAAATAAATTCCTCCTCTCTGGCCTTCCTGTGCTTTTATTTATACACTAATACTAAGACTCAAAAAGAAGTCTCTTTTCTCTGTATCTACAACTCAGCAGTGGTTCTCAGGTGTGGGGCCACAGGCTGCTGCTATGAGAGGCTGAAGAAATAGCATGGGATGTGTTTGCAGCCACTCTAGTTTAGGTTCATTTTAGCCATCACTCCCTGTTTAATCTGTACTCTCAGTTTTCTGGATGAAAAAATATGATTGCATTGATCATGGAGATACTGCTGCTTCAGGCCCAGAGCAACCCTTCTCGAAGGACAGAAAAGGAACACTAAAAAAAAATCATATTAAAATTTTAACTCCAGGATCTGAGAGATGGGCAGCTTTCCCCCGTTCCCCTGGTGTGGTCCCATTACCCTGCTCCTCCACAGAGCCCCAAAGACCCCACTCCCTGTGGGACTCTGACAGGGAGGAGAAGAAGGAGGAGGAGGAGGAAGAGGAGGAGGAGGGGGAGGAGGAGGAAGCCTTCAGCCACCTGCTCAGCCATTGGTTTCACAGTGAGAGGGGATGAAGAGTCTGGCTTACCTCTCCCCTCCTGCTACTGCCACCCCAGAGCTGTTTGTCCTCTGGCAGGTCCCTGCCGCTGTCCTCCCTGTCCCGCATCTCCTAAAATCCATACAAGAGACACTGTCATGTTATTTCCCAAGGCTGCCAAGCAAACCTGCTCCAGACTGTGGTTAGAAACAAAGGTCTCCAAAGAGCTCCTGCTTCTCCTCGAACACAGCTCCCCACAGCGTGAACACCACCGGCCATCAGTGAGACCTTCATCACCATCTCACTCACCTTAAAATTGACAAGGACTAATTTTCCTGGACTTGGCAGCCCGTTTTTTTCTTATTTCAATCTGCATCAATAAGGCTTTTCAAGAAAAGGCAAAGGAAAGCATTCATATGCATGACTATTTTTATTTAATGTGCTTGTTCCATTTCCTTCAGCACAGATTTTTTTGTATAGTTTTATGTCTAGATTTCTGCACTGGTAAACCAGCTGGTTTTGACAGTGGTATGTGTGACATCAGATATCAGCTCAGTGAAGATAAAATAATTAGAACATTGGATGCTGTTTGTGAGAGTTTGTTAAGAAGATCAATAAAGACAGGAGCACTTTGACTTTTCTTAGTATGGTTTCTTTGGCAACCAGGGGAAATAACATAGATAAAATTATAGTCCCATCACGCTCCATGTGCTGACAGTACATAATATATAATTGCATGCTTCCCACCAGAAAGCTTACTTAGTATAATCCTATACAATCTTTTCTCTCGCACTGTATTAGGTGTTTCATCATTTCCACAGCTTGCAAAGCCCTGAAAAATTAAAGAAGAAAACAAAACCCCTTGAATTGGTTTTGCTATTGCCTGGCTTTGAGAGCTTATGACAGGACTAATTTAGTTTGTCTGGCAGCAAAAATCCTAGATTATTCAAAACTAAGAAGAAGTGGGTGTGTAAATCATGCAGTCTTTCTAGAGAGATTTGGTTTTGCAGTTTGTCAGAATCCTCATCCTCCTAGAGGATGAACTTCAATACTTCTAGAGCATCTTTACTTCAGAAAACACCTGACATAGGCTACTGATTTCAAAGAAGAGGTGGTGGGCTAGCATCTCTCTTTCAGCGTGCACTTTCCAATAGCTTGTGTACGGCAGTTTGTCAACCCCATGTGTCTGCCTGTCTGTGTTTTGAGTTGTACTGGTCTCATAATTCAAGGACACCCTGGGCTTGCAGAAAGTACTCAGGGGTACCTGGAGAAGCATCAACACTTTGCTGTGACATTTCTACTCCTGCGACATTTATTAAGCAAAGGGAAGGCTGCTGGGCATACAGCATAGTCTGTCCTAGTGTTTGAAATGAGAGGAGCTGGATAAAGCAATGTAAAAGCTTGCAGAATTAGCTTCTAACTTGCAGAAGTAGAGGCCAGGACTTGAAGCTCTTGCCCTTCCCCTCTGCTGTAGCTCCCCAGCCCCCATACACAGTCCTTGCCTTGCCTCTGCCCCACTCAGTACTTTGCTAGTGGGACACGAGGGTTCCTCCGAGATCACTGTTTTGGAACCCAAAATAAGTTCAGCTCCTAAACCTGCAAACAAGTCACTGTCAAAATAAGCAGCCTAATTTATTAAACTTTTTGCAGGGCTCTCTGTGAGCCAAAGAACACGTCAAACCTAATGAAACTGCCATTGCTCGGGGCTATGGAAGGCAAATGCAAACTCTTGCTGAGGCCAATGGCACAGCATCAAGAGCTGAACTTTAGCCACCTACCTCTGGATATTAGTTTAGGACATCTGAAGAAAGAAGTAGAAAACAGCAAAATGAAGATAAACTTGCTGTAAGTGGATGATTACCTCTATAGAAGGTAAAGATACTCTGGAGGTACGTATGTCTCTGTGGAATGGGAAATGATGTGAAGAGGAGCAATTAACAGCTTTGGGTACTGCAAAATACCTGTAAAAACCTTTAGGGCTTTTTTCCTCCAGTGCCAAAAGGTGTTCAATTAATTACTTAACACTGGGAGCCAAACGAATCCTGGTGCTCTGCAACAAGCTTCTCTGTGCGTTTCTGGGGAGGGTCCTGGCACAAGGTGAGGGCAGGGCTGTCTCCTGCGAGAAGTCCACAGGCAGCAGCCACCAGGCCATGGCTGGGTTAACGCGCCCGGCCAGATCACAGGAGGAGGTTTTGCTAAGCCAAACACAGGTGGGCCCCACTCTGCCTGTCTGTAAAGTACCTTGCTGACACCGCCTGCCTACAGCTTCACTGCCTATACTCTGGGATGCTGTTTTGCATGAGTTAAACATAGTGCAGCCATTGGAAAAATCCCTTGAAAGGGAAAAAAAAGGGTTGGCCTCTACCTCGCTTTGCCCCCTCTGCAGGATGGGAGGCTAAAGCATGAATAGGAGGCAGTACTGGTGAAGGAAGCAACCAGCCATTCTTAATCCCTGTCCTTGTTGCCTATCCTCAGCTTCTTCTCTTTTGCAGAAAGCTCCTGGTCACATTTCCTGGACATGTATTTTCAGTGATCACTGTGCTCAAGGCAAGCTAACCCTGGTCATTGAAAAGAGAGCTTTATTTTGTACTGTATCTTCCACATTGTTTTTTTGTTCTCATCAGAGTATTCATTTGCAGATCTGTCTCTCAGGTAAATGCTTTTGAGATACTGCCTCAGCTGTAACATCCAGAATTTAGGTTTTAATAAAGCAGCTCCCTTTTTCTTCATCTAGAGATCTTGTAATCTCTAAAGAAGCAAGCACATCTATTGCTTTAATACACTTCATGAATTCAATTTCCATTTTACTTTTAGCAGAGAGCACTTCAGATGTCTTTGGGATGTTCTACATATGTTTTCCCTCTTGTTCTGTTTTCTAGTGACAGAAATTAGAATTGCAAGCATTAGCAGGATTGTTCTATTGACTGAGGATCGATACTAGATTGCTTTTCTCCCCTGTCCTGGTTTCAGCTAGGATAGAGTTAATTTTCTTCCTCGTAGCTGGTACTGTGCTGTGTTTTGGATTTAGGATGAGAATAATGTGATAACACACCGATGTTCTAGTTGTTGCTAAGCAGTGTTTATACTAAGTCAAGGA